CGCTCCCTGTCGGTTGTGCGCTTAGAAACATCATCTTCGACCACTGAGTGAGAGATTGCATCTGAATTTGTAGAGCGGCAACGAATCATCCCTTAACGAAGCATTATAAAATCATTAACGGGCGCTTTGGACAAAACGGAATTCCAACGTCGCGGCGCGGCGCGGCGGCGGGGAATATCCTCGCGTGCGTTTAACCTTTGTCTCGCGACTCGCTAAACGCTCGCCAGTCGCGGCACGCTCACCCGGTTCCACACGGAAGGGCCGGGCCTCTAAATTTTCATTTTCGCCCGCGATAAACCTCCGTTAATGCTTTCCCCTCCGTTACGTTTCCGCATTTGGCACAACTCGACGTAAGCTGCACTTGGAAATGGACCTTCTCGTTCGTATAACTCCTCGAGTTCCAGGGCTCACAGATCGGAGTTACCTCCAAGCGACGTCCAGTACGAATAACAACACACAGCTGTTTTGATTTTATTAAAAACCCTCTTCTCGGCCCAACCGCACGGTGGAACGAGTCAACCAGACTGCTATCCTCAGTAAAAACGCCATAACTCCATTGCAGTCGTGTTTAGAGTACCTGTATACGGGAGAGTATTGCCATCTCCATCTCAATCCTTTCACTACAGAAAAAGTGTGCCGCTCTCTGATTGGTCGGGTATCATGGAGCCCCAAAGTTGGACCAATGTAAACAAACCCCAGCCCCTTCGCTCCTAGTTTGGCCCAATGTAAACAAACAAGATGGCGGAAAAGCTCTACGAAGCTCAAGACGTGATTTTGGGTGTAATGGAGATTTTTTTAGATCCAACATCTGAATTGAGTTCGGATCGAACTTCGATGAATATTTTTGCCGAAAATTCAGCTTAGAGTGTGTTTATCATTCATTTCTAGTGTTCCTCAGAGTCAGGTTGTTTACACTGGTGCAACTTTGGAGCTCCACGATAGCTTGAAACTGATGAACCAATCAGAGAGCGGCTCTGAGATGGCAATACTCTCCCGTATACAGGTACTTTAGTAAAAACGCCGTAGCTCCATTGTAGTTGTGTTCAACCGTTCACTGAAAAAATTATTTACTACCTAGAAGCCAATGACCATTAATTGCTTTCAGCATAAATACGTCCATAATATAGAAACTCCAAAGATCATTAAGTGGATCTTATACTCCTGTGAAAGAAGTTTCAGACGCTTATCGAAAATTCGTGGAGCACTACCTCCAATTTTAGTTTTTTCAAGACACGCCATTGAAAATTAATTTTTACACTATTCTTGGTTTCTCAAAGCAACGTCCATCTTTGAAATCGATGATAGTTCCAGTCCTGACTTCTGCGATGCTCGATTGCTTCAGTTTTCTTAAGTTGCCCTCGGAGGAGAATAACCGCATCTCAATCTTCTTGACCCGGGAAGCTTCGTCCATCCAGGAGTAAACTTCCCCTAACTTTGGTCAAACTACTTTGTTGAACTTCAGATAACCTTATTATATGGTTTCGCCAAACCAGTTTCAACCACAAGAAACAGAGACCCTCAAGTGCAATGCCGGCAATGGTAGGAACTTTTTTCAAACCGGCATTGTACATTTAACACCTTTTTCGGTTGCTAAGCTACGTGTTGATCATAGCGCCCGATAAGTTTGCAAAGATGGGCTCATCACAAAGTTCAAAAGTCAGTTCCAGGATTTATTTAATTTCATGGGAGGGTGAAATTCCAAAAGTAAAAAAATTCGCACCTATCGCGATGGCAAATTTAAAAAAAAACTATAAGGAACTGGACACCATCATACCACGATCGTACCAAGAGAAAAAGGTTCGAAGTTTTTTTCTACACAAGATTCAATTCCGTATATAATCGTATTCATCGTCTGTTTTTACACTCGAATAATTTACTCTCAACTGTAGAAGGAGAGGAAAGTGTTCAGCCATTTAAGCTAAAAACCTAGGTAAAGTTCTCTTAAAAGCCGACTTGGTTTTTTCCTGTTTAGTTCAGTCTAATTTGAAGGCCTTAGCATTCTCAATGACAACGCCTGGACGCAAATATTCGAGCTTGGTTGACGTCTGAGTAGCATACACTCAATATTGCAGGCGTTTTGGTTTTCTTCACCGTAACATTTGTCTGGCTATCATTTGTGCCGAAGAGATCCACTTGTCGTTTGTACAATCGCGTCAGCCATAACAACTTAGACCGTTAACGTCGGATTACAACTGTCAAGGTTGAAACTGGCCCTACCACATTCTTCCCAAAATGTATGTAGGTTTCTTATATTTAAATCAAGTTGATTTGTCTATGGGCCCTACTGAGTTAAGGCTTCAATTGCACAGACTGTACAAAGCACATCAAGCTAGGGGTCGTAGCCCCCATTGGAGTCAAAGATGGGCTTAACTTGAGTCCAAAAGGCCAATACCCGAATCTACAAGCGCAGGAGAGGAGCTCAGGAGGTGAATAGAACTGAGTAGACTATCATTAAGGATCGGGTTGATAATAAATTAAAATCTGTTTTTTTCCTCTTCACTTCTGATTAATTTTTATCTGTGGTACTCTTTTGTGATTATCTCTTAACTTGTTATCAATCTTGAGCCTGGTGACTTCCGCTTATTTCCGAAATTACAAAATTTTAAAAAACTAATCATTTAAATTGTTATCCAAGCTTTTGCTACACTCGTCACGGACTGTAAAGTATTTAGGGACATTTGCTCCGGAAATGTTCAAAAATTTACTCTTTGGCGAGGATGAAGGAATCCTATTAAAAATACAGTTCACGTTTTATATGTTTGTACCCAACAGAAAAGAGCTTTAAAATCAATGATCGTTTTGTTGTTCTATCGAAGGAGAGATACGTAAACGGCAAGAATCTAATCCTGTGACTCTGTGGGAGAAGGAGGAAGATATTTAGAATTTCTAGGGAGAGTCAAAAGAAAAAGATACTACGGGGCAATGCCCCTCTAGCTAACCTCTCACTGAACCCTAACTTCGAATTGTTCGGCCATCGACAAACCCTCTGCCGAACTGTACCTAGGTTCAGCTAAGAAGATCCCTGAAAATAATAGTTTGATCCTTGCAAATTGTAACAAGCACCTCAACGGGACTGATCGATATTGTGGTTGCACAGAGCTATTATTTTACATACTCCTGTTGCTATTCTACCCAGATCCGTGGATGTTTTGGCGCCAAAAAGGTCGCGACATAACGACCCGGCACCTTATACCCTTGTCTTTACATCAGAACCCTGAGAAGCACTCTACGAGAGGCGCATTCCTAACGACAACGCCTGCTCGGAACTATTCGTGCTCGGATGATGTCGGTGTTGCATAAACACAGAATTGCAGGCGTTTTGGTTTTCCGAATTACAACGCTTCATTGATTGCCAATTTCTCGTACAATGTCGGGAGAATTGACGTATACTCCGAAGTATATATTTACTAAATCTTGATTTTAAACTAAATCCTACCTCATTTTGATACAGAGTGTGCTGACTGTTGAATTGGTGTGTAATTGGAATTTCTGTCCAACTTCCTCAATTTTCATTCGAATCTAATTTTAATTGGACTACACTTTGCAATTAGGACTTACAACTTCTGGCTCATTCGTAAAAACACTTATCTGCATAGGGAAATTAATGATATATACGTTGTTTCTACACTGAGTCACGAACTGCAGTTTCTAATAATGCAATGTGTAGTCCAATTGTAATTTAACGCATGATACGGGAACTTTCGCGAAATTTTAAAAATACTTTGGATAAAATCTTTCCGTTTCTAGCAGGAAGCTGAATTAGGACATGGAGTAAGTAACGAGGTTCTATTGTGGTGAAGCTTGCCATTGTTAAGCGAACTCAAAACTCGGTTCGAGTTCGGGTGTCGCTGCTGCCAGCAATCATGAGCAAACTAAACCCAGCGCCAGCGGCTAAAGGATTCTAAAATAGCATTGGTGAATGATTTGAGCCCAACGTGGCAAGAAGCGTGGATAATAATGTGTTAGTATCAATTATCAATTGTGAGCTACGCTGTCGTGCTAGGGAAGAACGCCGTATGAAAATTCGAGAGTTGCCAAGTTTCCCTTAATAAAACGCTCATTTTTGAGGAAAGTTATGAACAATTTTCCTTGAAATTTTTAGAACTTTTTAGTGAAACTTTGAGTAACATTATCTAAAAAACCGGAGGGAAAATATTCATGAGTTTAAGACAGGCTTGCCACGGTCAGGGAAAACCGGGAAATGTCAGGAAATCTCAAAAAGTCAGGGAAAACCTGGAATTGTCAGGGAATATGACGAACATGTCGAAGATGTCAGGGTAAACTTGTCAATAAGTCATCTTCATTTGCTCTCTAGACTAGATTTGACGTTTTAAACAATAGATTCTGAGTGAAAACTTTTTGAAATTATGTCTTTTTAACCATCTAGTATATTTTCAATTTTCAGGGAGTATTACCAAAATGTGACATGGAAATCAGGGAAATGTCAGGTTTTAACCTCTGTAACAACCCTAATAACAGGAAATTTGTGTTTAGAGTGAAAACTATTTGAAACTATGCCTTTTTAACCATCTAGTATATTTTCAATTTTCAGGGAATTTCACGAAAATGTAACAGAGAAATTAGGGAAATGTCAGGGAATTTCATTTCTTAACCTCTGTGGCAACCCTAATAACAGAAAATTTGTGTTTTGAGTGAAAAATATTTGAAACTATGCCTTTTTAACCATCTAGTATATTTTCAATTTTCAGTGAATTTTACCAAAATGTGACAGGGAAATGTCAAGGAATTTCATTTTCTAACCTATGTAGCAACCCTGTTAACAGAAAATTTGTGTTTAATCAAAGGAAATTTGGCAACGCTTGAAGGTTGATACGTCGTTCCTCTTCAGGACGGCAGAATGCGCGATGTGCCGATGTATACATTCTCATTGCGTGTGTGTTTTCCTCTGTTGCAGGGAGGGAGAGAGCTGGAGCG